TCCCTTTCAACGTCAAGATCGATAGGTCTCCGACTCCCAGTAGGAGCGTTGTCTCTAATCTGATCCTTCTGTCTGTCATTGGCCATCTATTGCTATCTATTCTTCTTTCTTTCCCACAGACGGCGCCAAATTGTGTGGGTGATTTTCCGACCACACTGCCCGCTTAGTAATCAGCTGGAGAGCACTGGCAGAATAGATGGCACCTGACTGACCTGTAACAGAAATATAAGAATCCCGCGGTGGTTTCGACCACCCGGGGGCACTCCGACGATCAAGTCAGTATATCTCTCAAAGATAAATCAAGTACTAAACTCACAAGCTTGAGTATCAAAAGCATACCTTAGACCCATGGGGGTGCCTCTCTTTTATAGCTAATACAATCCTAGTCCCAATAGGTGCCTGGCCCTAATGGACTTAGGATTACTGCTAATCTGGGACTTCTAGTGGGATTAGGATAAACTCTCTAAGAGTCTTATCTTTACCCAAACTGAAGTCTTCTCCCAATCTAGGACTCTTGTCCATATCCAAGTTGAGTTCCCTCTTCATTCTAGGACTCTTGTCCCTTATCCGCTTATCTCGGATTCCGATATCTTCGGAGGCAACCTCGGCCTAGCCGAGATGACCTCGGCACAACGACCAAGACACGTGGCACCTCGGCTGACACGTCAGCGTCACCTTGCCACGTGTTGGTACTCAGAAAATATATCCCCACAATTAGATACCTTTATAATGGGGAATTCGGGGCAATGGTTGCATTCCTTTAAGCTGAGTTTGGTTGGGGAATTTGGGGAGGGATTTGGAAAGGGAAAGGGAAAGGGAAAAGGTGTATGAAACTAGGTGAAATATAAATATGTTTTATTCACATTTTACTTACATTTTCCATTTCCCTTTCCAAATCTCATCCTCAAATCTCCCAACCAAACACAACATTAACAAATTGAGATTCCTAGAAATAGGATGGGATGGGATGGGATGAGATAGCTACATGGCAACAAGAAGTTTTCGGGGAAATCTTTTCACTTTAATCATTGGTGAAGAGAGAAATTATTTTCCTTCAAAGAGCATTTGGAAGTCTGGTGTAGGACCGCGTGACATGCAATTTCTTCCCCTTCTTTTAGGGACTCCTTGTCCCTGTTGTACTACCCTTTTGTATTGTTCATTCTGCAAACATTAAACAAATTGTTATTACTTATCAAGGAAATATCAACAAAGAATATCAATACTATTGAGAACACGCATGTTTGCAACGTGTCCGTGTCCGACATGTATCGGACACACACCACATGGCATGTTAATTTTTTTAATTAAATTTTTTTGTTGTACGACACATTGGGGATATACTTCACGGACCTCTCTGGACATGTTTTTGGTTTTTTTTTTTTAAATTTTAAAAAGCTGATTTGATGACAAAGTAAAATATTTGGAAACAAATGGGGTAAAGTGGAAAAATTGCATTTTTTTTATCATATTCCAATGCGTCCATAACCTACCTTTTTTCAAAATCGCTATGTCGCATGCCCTTGCCCGTGCCTCTTAGGCCTAATAGCTTAAGCTTTTGGAAATAGTAGTGATTAATCATGATACTAGAGCAAGCGATAGATCATGTGTTCAAACTCAACACCTACCCAATAATTATATAACTTTCATGTGCTTGGCCCACTCATGGAGGAGAGATTGGAGGCATAAAATAGGGCATGTATTAAGAATATGCATAATAAAGCTAGTGGCACCCAATTCATAACACCCTCCACCTCTTGCCGGCTATTACACGGCGGGAAGTGAACTCCAAAAACTATTGTCTTAAAAGCCATATTTTTCCAAAAACTATGTTTTTCTACATTTATCGACTGTCATACGGCAAGACGTGGACCCCCAAAAACATTTTTAACTTTAAAACAATCTCTACATTTGCCGGCTATTATACGACAGGAAGTGGGCACCCAAAAACATTTTCAAAACCATCAGTCTTTTCACTTTTGCCGGTTACAATACAGTAGGACTTTGTGGACACCCAAAAAATCATTTTTCTACTTTTATCGGCTACTATACGGCGGGATTGTGTGGACACCCAAAAATTATTTTTTCCCACATTCGTCCAACGATAAGCCTAGACAGGACATTTGGGCACCTTGAATTCAAAATCACCCCCCACATTTGCCGACTATTATATGGCGAGACATGGGCACCCAACAACATTCTCGACTCCCTACGCGGGTACCAACCACAACACAACCCAACACAACTGAACTCAACTCAACACAACACAACTCAACCAAACTTAGCACAACTCAACTCAACCAAACTTAGCACAACTCAACTCAACTCAACATAATATAACATAACTCAATACAAGTCAACATAACACAATAAAATTCAACACAACCCAATTTAACACCATTCAATGCAATTCGGTATAATTCAATACAAACTCTTAAACCTCCACATTATCATTTCACCACAAAACTCATATCATCCACACCATTAGTAATTTCATTTCCCTCAAGTTTGATTTCATATTATAACATAATTTAAAACATCAACATTAAGAGTTCAATAACAACTTTTACACAAATTTTTCAAACTCTTTAAAATTTTAATTAAACTTGTACATGTGTAATTTAACACCTCAATTCATGATTCTACTTTCAATTTAAGCAATACCATCAACCATCTTCATGAGCCAAACAAAGGTTTTTAAGAGAAATTAAAGTTTTTCACAAAAATACTTTTTTTTTAATTCCAACTCTTCTATTAATTATACACCCAAATTCATAACCCCAAATCATAACCCAACACTTCAAACCCTAAACCCCCAAGTCTCATGATTTATTCACATTATGCATAAAAATATAAAATTTGTATTTATATAAAGAAAATACCACAAATCTATTTATAAATGAGTGTATTGAAGGAGAATTAGAAACCCCTACCTCTTGAAGCAAAGAGATGACAATCCAAAAATCACCGGCGACGAAACCATGAAACTCTTGGATCAAAAGGAACCCCTTGACGAGATCTACAATCTTTATTAAAGGATCAAGGTGAAAAGATCACTCTAGGTGAGTAGATCTAGAGATTTAAGTAAAAAAAGTTTGAGTTTAGAGGTAGAGAAGAGAACTCACGGTGTAGAGAGAGAGAAAAGAGGAGGAAAAGTGAAATGAATAAGTGTTTGAAGCCTATTTATAGTAGCAATGTAATAATAGAACAATAACCCCAAAGTCAAATGAAAAGAACAAGTCAAAAACCCCTAAAAAGTAGGGCCCAAACCGGCCCAAAATCTGAAAATTACACACAGGGGTCGACCCTTCAAACAGAGGTATCGACTTTTCAGGAAGAAAAGCTGAGACACTAGTGTGTGCAGAGGACAAGGTGTCGACACCTCCTAGATTGGTGTCGACACTAAATTCCAGCAAGCAAACCTCAAATTCAGCAATAGACAAGGGTCGACCCTTCCCAGATTGGTGTCGACCCTTAAGGCCAACAACAAAAGGCAAGTGTCGACACCACCAAGATTGGTGTCGACGCCAGAACAAGATTTCTAAGTTCCCAAACAACTTTTCAACGTAAACAAGTATGAACGAATAGTGCCAACAAGTTTAAATCGAATTATAATCCTCCAAAACCAAGACACAACAAGCCCAAAGACTCCCAAAAAGAAACTAAAGGAATTAAATACACCATCCAATAGATTAAAGGATACAAGTATTACAATCATTATGCAGGACAATAGAAGAATGAATTGGATTTTAACAACAACTGGAAAATAGAAATGGAAGAATAAGCATATCTCTTCTATTTCTTTGACAAAGCTCAGAGTAATTTGCAACAACGCAAGTAAACAATTTACACCTCTTAAGATCTCAAAACTTGTGGAACAACCTTGGATGAAAAGCTGTAGCGACACAGGTGGCACGAGTTGATGAACAACTTGCTAGAAAAGCACGAATTGATGAGGAGCTTGCCTGTCAATCTTCAAGGAGGGTGAATTGGCCATTTCCACTACTTGCTGTTGAATTGGCCATTTCCACTACTTGCTGTTATACTCAGTTTTGCTGCTTTTACAGATAAGTTATAGATATAGATTATCATTCTAAGTATAATTTTTTTTTTAATTTTCATATTGATTTAACAGGTTAACAGGAAGTCAAAAAAGAAAACCAAAAAAAAAAAGAAGGAATATTTTTTTTTATTCATTATGTTTTCAATTTTTTTTCTTTAAGACTGTTTTTCAATTTCTAAACTATCTCTAAAAAAGTAGTATTTCAAATTTTTCAAAAAACAAAAATAAAATTGCACAAACGAAAAAAGAATGGAGATGTTCTTAAACATTTTTTGAAACATAATAATAATAATGATGATGATGATGATGATGATGATGATGATGTTAATAAAATATTAAAAAGCAAAAAAAATCCCTTAATTCTTGAATAGTTAAGAATAATAAGTTGAAAATATATTTTGAAAGTTTACTTATTTTAGAAAAAAGAATTAGGAAGAAATGTATATTTAGAATTTTTTTTTTTTTTTTTTTTTGCTTGTATGCTAACAAAAAGAATAAATTTAGATTCGCCCCAACAAACAAAGGAATCAGCGAAGTATCAAATGAACACTTGGCCTGATCTTTCGAGAAAAACCCTATCAAAACCCTAGATTTTTAAAGAAAAGAGAGAGAGAGAGAGAGAGAGAGAGAGAGAGAGAGAGAGAGAGAATCAAAATGAATTTACATGGGATTTGGAATAACAACAGGGGAGGCTAGTTGTGATTTGAAAGAGAGAGATCGGCGAGCACAGTGATCAAGAGAATAGACATATTAAAAATTATATATTCATAATTTTTAATTTTTAATAAATAGTAATAACATTTTAACTTTTAAATTTTCAATAAACTTTTTCACTTTTTGACAGACAGGTTAGACCAACTTAGCGTTATCAATCGAGAGTTGACGACCTTAATAGATAATAACAATGCGTCGTCTTCCTTCAACAATTGTTCCCTTGATATTCATTTGGCTCTCTCTCTCTACAATAGTCTGGTGGAAGAAATAGCGGAGAGCAATGGGATCAGCGTTCGGTTCGAGTTCAAAGAGCAAAGAAGAAAAAGAAACGGCTCTTTCCAAGGTCAAGGAGATCGTTACCTCTTCCCCTGTCGTCGTCTTCAGGTTCTCTCTCTCTCTCTCTCTCATTCTTTACTTCAATTCAGTATTCAACAATTTTGAAACCAATTTTTTTTTTTTTTTTGCGGTTCAATTCAGTATTAATATCCATCAATTCATTTAAATTAGGGTTATTTAGACCCCTAAACAAAATATCATTCGACTCCATAAAGTGTATAAATGGACTTCTTTCCTAACTATTTGAAAAGTATAACTCTACCCCTAAACTATAAAACAAATTGGACCATAACGGAAGGGGTAAAATGATATTTGTCAATAGTTTAGGCTCCATTTATATACTTTTATAATTTAGGATATATTTGTACGATTTTATAGTTTAAGAGCCAATAGTTTAGGATCTAGTTTAGTTTAGGATCTAGTTCAGGATCTATTTGTACGTTTTTATAATTTAAAATTTAGGAATCGAAGCGATATGTTCCGTGTAAATAACCTTTTAAATGAACCCCTTATATATTACATTTAAACACTTCACCAAATAATCTTAACTACTTCTCCTTACTTTTATTTTGCCACTTTGCTAGCTGTTACCTTTGTTTATCGATAGAATCAACTCTTTCTTCTCCATGCTCGTATTGCCTCGTGTTTGAATAAATATTCGAAGGGAAAAAAAAAATTACAAGCTTTTTGTGGTTTTAATTACAAACAATTATGATTGTGTTACAAAAGTGTGCGCCATAAGAAAAGTTTTAATTGCGTATCATTATTGTTATAATTATGTTATGAAAAAGTGCACTATAATAAAAAAATTTAGTTATGAATGATGGTTGTGTTTTTGTTATGAACCGGAAAATGTTATGAATAATTGTAATGGAAAAAAATAGGAATCATTGTGATTATTTGTTATGAATCATAGTTACGAAAGGTATAAAGCCGTTTTCCTTCTCATTTGGTGACAATCGGAACATGTTAAATTTATAACATTTTATGCCATTTTTATGACATTTTGATAGTAAATTTCTAGGTTTTCAAAATTTCCCTTTTTCTATGTATGGACTTAAGTGGTGTACCTACTTGTGAATACAATTTTTATTGTGCATGGACTATGACCTGTTGATTTGTAATTTATTTATTTTTGGTCTTTTAGGTTGCGTTTGGATCTTATGGATTTAGGGAGGGATTTGTAAAGGGAAAGGAAAAAGTAAAGCGAGATATGAATGGAACACAAGTTAAAATTTTGTTACTTTTCCCTTCTCTTTTTCTTTCCTTCTCAAACATAGATCCAAGTATTAGATCATATTTTCACATCTCATCGTAGTCATATATTTTGGTATGGTTCCTTGGGAAATTATGATCTCCTTACTCTGCAGCAATTTATGTTCTATCTCCTGAATATTTCTTAGTATTCATTATTATGGATCACCGGATAACAATTTCCTTAGGATTGTAGAAAATGTTAATTTTGTTTATATGTTTGCTCTGCCATAGGTTTCAGAGATCAAATCTGCAAACTGGACTTGTTTAGGTCAAATTTGTCTCCTTGTCTACCAGTTCAATTATCTCTTAAGTGCTGTGTTTTCTCCTATACTAGTAAAAGGCCATGCTTGCAGTTGCAGTGCATATTCTTAAGGAAAATGTTAATGACAGCCTTTTGGGTTCCTATACCCTCAGTAGATGTGTAAGGAGTGTATTGAAATGTATGAAAATGCTTTGAGATATGTAAAAAAAATACATTGATATTGTAACTCTTTTGGCATTTTCTTTCCCTTGTTGCTAGCCCATTGGGCTGTCATTAGCATAACCCTACTAATAAACATTAAAAGGGTTAGAGAGCCACTATCTTAACACTCTTGTTCCCGTGCACTCTCAACCACACGGTGTGGTGAAAATCTTGAAACGAGAATCTGGAGGCATGATCGTGTAGTTGAAAGTGCATCAAGGACAAAGGGACAGATTGTTGGATAAAGGATCCTGTGTCCTTCAAAAAGTGCATAGAGGTTGGTAGTTATTGATGGTTGTCAGAACTGTTCTCAAGTTTATGAGTTAGTTTCTGTAACACAGCCAATCAATTTTTGTTTTGCTTTATGGTCCTTTTGGTGCTGCAAAAATGCTAGAGACCTCACAAAAATTACCAAATATTGTTCTACACAATACTCACATAGCTGTGGGTCCCTCACCCATGTGAGTATTGTGTAGAATATTTAGTAATTTTTTTGGGGTCCCTAGCATTGGTGCAGTGCTTTTTATATGTGATTCCTTGACCTAGTTGGTTTTAATTTCCACAGAAATCTCGAACATGGCTTATAACCCTCAATTCTATACTCCTTCCTTACTAATCAATTTCTTTCTTTTTAATTAATCTGCATTGTGCTACTTCGATGTTGTTATGTCTAATTCTGTGTTCCTGTGGAAGTTTCAGATGATTGACTTCACCTGATATTCTTCTTTTTGCAGTAAAACTTACTGTGGATATTGCAACCAGGTCAAGAAACTGCTCTCCCAGCTAGGTGCAAGTTACAAGGTCATTGAATTGAATGTGGAAAGTGAGTATATGCTTATTAATTTCTGTTATTACAACAATTGATACTATCTTGTTTCATTTTCACGTCCTGCAACTCTATTTTCAGTCTTGATTATGGAGTTTCCTTATGGACACAGTTGTTTGTGTGTCTTGAGTAGAAGAAAGTGAGAGAAGTCCTAACTACTTTCTTTCCCTCTTTTGATAATTTCATACATCCGTTTGGTACCTGTTATCATTCCTGACTTTTGAACTCATTATCATCAACTTAGAGCTTTTGGGAGCAATTATTCACTGCCACATGTGGCATTGACTTGGCCTTGCCACAAATCGATTTGCCGTCCATTTATGTCAGACCCACACAAATGGATGGTCCAGAGATTGATTTGTGACATGGAATAATTTTTCAATTTTTAGATATGAGAAAAACATTAAGAGTTATAGATTAGCAGACAATGAGGTCAAAAAAGTAGTGAGAGATGTTAAGTTGAAAGGCTATGACGACCTATACACTATACTAGATAGTAAGGAGGGAGGGAAGAGAATCTATAAACTTGCTAAGATAAGGGAGAAGAAAACAAGAGATTTTAATCAAGTTAAGTGCATCAAGAGTGAGAATTCTAAGGTGTTAGTGAAACATGAAGAGATTAAGGAGATATAGAAGAATTATTTTGAGAAGCTATTAAATGAGGAATATGTAGGAAGCTCAAAAGGGAAGGAAGTTACCGGTAATAAGGAAGACCAAGACTACAGGTTCTATCGCAGGATAAGAAACTTTGAAGTAAAGATTGTACTCAAGAAGATGAAATCAAATAAGGCTTTAGGAGCCGATAATATCCCTATTGAAGCTTGGAAATGCTTGAGTAAGAAGAGGATTGCTTGGTTGACTAGGCTATTTAGCAAGCTTTTGTTGGCTAGGAAAAAAACAGAGGAGTGAAGGAAGCGTATTTTAGCGCCAATCTATAAGAATAAAGGAGATATCTAAAATTGCAACAACTATTGAGGAATCAAGCTAATGTGTCATATAATGAAAGCGTGCAAGAAAGTGATGGAATGTTGATTGCGAGATATAACAGAGATGTTAGAGAATCAATTTGATTTATACCAGGTAGGTTAACAATGGAAGAAATCTATCTTTTGAGGAGAGTAATAGAAAAGTATAGAGAGAAGAAAAGAGGTATTCATATAGTTTTTATCGTTTGAAAACCATCATGCTCAATGATGTTATGCAACTTCAACTGTTCAAAATTTATCAATTTAATTAAAGGGGGCGGTAAATACAACTCTGGTAATCCCTAGGTCGGTGTCTGCAAGTAGACTATATGAGTACTACCAATTGTCATTTTTACCAGTATTAACCGGAAGGCTCGACACCTATCCGCGCGACTTTCTGGTCTTTCACCAAGGACACTCAGGCCAACTTAAACAATTTCATCTACACCACCTATCAAGACTTACCACCGTATTTACCCCAAAACCATCATGAAAGCCCATTTCCCAATATTCTTTTCTCAATGCAAATTTCCAAACTTTAACATAGTCCAATGAATTGAAATGCCACTGTATGCTTAATAATGCAATGCAACATTACTTCCATATTCAATTGTTCCACAGAATATACCATTGTGATCAAAATTCTCAATCCCCTTTTCAATACAATTCCACAAGATGAATATATATATATATATATATACTTTTATATCCAATTCATTCAAGAGAATAACATTATTCCCACATTTCGAGCAATCTCAACAATTTAGTCAATCCAAGACTAAATCAACATTTTGACAACAATTTCCAAAATAAGCAACATTTCTCATTTTTTTCACAAAATTCGTCATTTATATATAAATAAACAATTTTCAAAACATCCATTTATTTTGGTACACAAAATAAATATGACAACATCTTCTAAGGATTTTTAACATCTGTAAGAGGAGCTAATTTGAGTCCACTAAATTAATTAGGCCCAATAGTCCAAGGTTGGTGGGCTCGAATTTATCGCAAGTCCAAGATTGGTGGGCTCGAATTTATCGCCATCAAACGGGCTAAATCGCTCTAAGCCTCACAAGGGTTCGGATCCACGAACTTAGAGACTTACTCGGGCCCGGACTCGAAAGGGTATTGAGCAAGCCTAGAGATCCGAGGCACTCGAACTCGAAACGGTTCGGATCCACGAACCTAGAGATCCGAAGCACTTGACTTCGAACGGATTCAGACGCAATCTAGAAGTCGCTCCGTTAATGAGTCCTAGAACACTTGTGGGCTCGGAGCTTTTCGGGATCTACCCACTAGAACCATGGGCGTAATGGAGTTCGAACAAAGGACCCGATCCCGAGGATGGTGAGTGGAGATAAATTCACTATTTGGTTAAACTAGCCTATACCCGGGTTGAGGTGGCACGATCTAGGGGGTCCCTGAGACTCGGCAATATTTGCGGCAGGGCGTTCTCTTGAACTACCCCTGACCCTTATGCGGCAGGACGTCCTCTGGGACTACTCTTGACCCTTTGGGAAGATTGGGGATCATTGGTTAGGCGTGGCTAAGAAGAAGGGTTCGCCGAGGGGTTGATCTCCTCTTCGGGGTTTTTCTCATCTTCGGAGAGGTCACCTCCTCGGACAAGGTGGTTAGAGAGAATATTCCCCATGTTCCTTGCAAATGGCTCCATCCTACATCATGAGGTGCCTATAAATAGCACCCACCCATAGCTTTACAAGGGATGGATTTTGGAGAATTAACTCTTGGGAAAGAACTAATTTCCCTTATCCATTATCAACCTTGAGAGTGAAAGTGGCAAATCCATGTGAGAGCCTTTCCATTATTCTCTCTCTAGCCATTTTGCCTTCTTCTTCACCCAATCTCTTATCTCCATCATCTCCTTTACTTTTGTGTTCTTGAGTTGAGACTATTAAAGAATCTAAGCCTCTCATCATCTTCTAGAGAATTCGAAGTTGTTCTTCAAGGATCTTCGAAGATATTCGAATTTTCCAACGACGTTCTTGAACCCTTTCATTCGAATTTTTCAACGACGTTATTGAACCCTCTTCTACAACATCTTTCAAAGAAAATACCCAATTTTTAGGTTTTCTCACCAAAACCATTTATTTCCAAGATATTTAGAAGAATCTCCCCAAAATCATCTTTTTTCAATCAATATGGTTCAAAACCTTTAATTTCTATTTTAAAAAGAAAATGAATTAAACCCTCTTTCAAAATCACTCATCTTCTTGAAATCAACAATCAATTTCTTAAAGTTAATCAAATGATGATTTTGAAAATCATCTAGATCTTGCAAAAACATATATATAACTCTATGAAAATCCCTACCTTAAGTTTTGAAGAAGAAATGAGATGAAATCCCAAAAATCAACGGTGTCGAAACTCAATCTTCATCGCACACAACGAAGCCCTCGAGATGATAACCAACTTTGGTGAAGAAGTTAGGTCTAAATCCCAATGGATTTGGAGAAATCAAAGAGAGAAGATGACTTCTAGAGAGAGAAGCTCCCGATCTGGAATTCTGGAGAGTTTTAGAGAGAGAGAGGATTGAAAAAGTGACATGAAATATCAGATTCACGAACTGATATAACATGTTCCGCTCGAGTGTGGAATGCCACGCTCGAGCGTCAAATACTCTAACCTAGTACTTTTGCAGACAGGTTAAACTTATGAAACCAAACATTCTCCGCTCGAGCGTATAAACGGCCGCTCGAGTGAACAAGCAACTTCGAATGCATTTTGCATTTTTGTTTTGGGGGCACTGTCCCTCAACCCTGCCAAGGCGCTGCCCTAAGACCCGCCAAGGGGCGCTGTTCCCTGGACCCCTGCGAGCTGACCAGGTAGCTTGACTCCCGACCGGCCTAATCGAAGTGGCAAATCATGAAAGAAAGATCGAAACCGGGATCACTACAAGGGCGAATTACATTAACGATTACTGTAGTTTGAGACTTGTGTCATTTTAATTCTTAATATTTCAATTGTAATATATTTGGTCCTAAATTTTGAATATTGTTTCAAATAAGAACAATTGAAAACATTATTGCTCTATTTCAAGGGCAAAGTTGTCAATTTGATAAAATATAAACTAGGTTGATAAAAATAAATGTAAAAAAATTATTTTTGAATTTTTAAAAATTATTTCAACCCACCATAGATAAAATTACATAAAAATGATAAATCTTTTACATTATTATTTTTTTTACCAAATTAATTTTTAATATGTGTTTGGATGATAATCATGTAATGATTGGTCATTTTTGTTGATACATATATATACTAATTATAGTTATCATGTAATAGATGGTTATATTTGTTGTTAACAAATATTTTTGAGTGGTTATAGTGTAATGGATGATTATTATGGTTATCATGTAATGGATGACTACTAGGTTTTTAATGTGTAATCGATTTGTTTAATATATGACATATTTTTAATTTTTAATTTTTAATTTTTTGATATTTTGGATTGGTTTAATAATGACATCAAAATTGTCCTTATATTTGACATTTGAAAAAAAAAATTAAAAATAAATTATTTTTATATGATTTTATTTTCTGAAAATTATTTTTATATAATTTTATTTTTGAGATGGTAGAAATATTTTTTTTCATATTTATTTTCGTTAAATCTCATTTTTATTTTTTTTATTTTTAAGGCACCGTTTGGGAAGAAGGTTTGTACGCTTTTTTAACTATTTTAGCCACAAAAAACAAAATAAGCTATTTTAATCACAACCAACAAAATATCACATCTAACTCATAATTATTATATTATTCTCTCACAAAAAAAGTTAAAAAACCAAAAAATCCTTCCCAAACCAAACTTTTTAACCCAAACTAAAATAATCAAAAAAACTAAAAAGTCAAAAAGTTAACCAACTCCCAAAACCAACCTAATATGTATACTATTGAGTATATATATGTGTAAATTTTTATTTGAGTATATATATGTGTAAATTTTATTGATTGAAAATTGCATATACCTTCGGCCTCCCAAGATCAAAATCTTGGGATTAGGGTTTAGGGTTAGGAATCAATTTCTAAATCTTCACCAGAGAATGAAACTTGATCATCGCCGACCGGAAGAAAAAATGAATAGCGTTAGCCCATGGAAACGGAAACGCCCTGAACGGGAAGGTAAAAACATTGGCTGGACAAATTTTTATCGTTATATATATATATTTTTATTTTCTAATAATGATGATATAAACAGGTTCATTCGTAATTCCGCGACATAGTATTGGGGAGAGGTTTGACCATTTTGTATATGCTAATATGGACGTAGATATTGATACCAAAAGAGCGGCTTTGAAAGCTTCTCCTTCAGTTGTTTGTCTTACATCCCTTACAGGTGGGTGGTATATACCACATTATTATGTCATGCTTTATTGTTCTTTATGTTATTCTTCATATATGTCATTGTCAGCGGCTATGTTAGAGCATCTCTAATTTCATCTTTCTTTCTTTTTTTTATTATCAAATTTGGGTAAACAATTGGTTAAAAACTTAATTTGATATGGGATGCTCCAATAGCTTTTGATCAAATTTAACTAAAAGCTTGATTTGGTAAAAAAAAAAAAAAATTGAATACTCCAATCCTCCCTTAAAAATTTCATCAAATCCTTTTTAAAAATTCCAACATTGTCCCCAAAAGCTTCTTTCATCAAATTTGGTGATTATTTTTTCCTTGATTTGACCCGAGTATCCAATACGTGTGCGTGTGTAAGCGTCAAACCTTCCAAAACTTAGATCTTGGGATATTGGGGGTATGTATCCAAAAATAGGATACGGGTATGGGGACTCATACTATGTTTGGGAACCTACGAGAAAAGAAAAGAAATGATTACTTAAGTTACAAGAGAAAAGAAAAGAAAAGAAATGATTGTGATTTTCTCTTTTTTGTTTGGATGAGTAAGAAATAAAAGGAAAAAAAAAGATTGTGATTTCTCTCCTTGTTTGGTTAGATTTCATAAGGGAAAAGAAAAGAAACTGTTTTATGTTATATTACCAAAATAATCTTTGTATATTTTGTCAATCATTTTATTTCTTTTATTTTTACAGGGACAAAATTGGCATTATGAAAATATAAGAATATGTTGGTTTCTTTTCTCTCCCAATCTCTCCACTTTTGAGAAGATTGAAAATGAGAGTTATAAGAGAAATGGGTTTCTCTCCATTTCTCTCTACTTAAATTATCCAAATAAGTAAGGGAAATACATATCTCTCTATTTATTTTCTTTTCTCTCAAAATCACTCAATCCAAACATAGTGTCATTATGAACAGTTATATCTATTAAATATTATACTATAATATTTTTTGATTAAGTTTTATAAATTATGTAGAAATGTGCTTGAAATTCAATAGGATTTAGGAAAAAATAGAATTTCTTTCATCTATTGTTGGAGGCTACAAATGTTTTTTTCCTAGCAAATTTGAGTTTCTTATTCATCAAACATTGTAAAAAATTGGAGATCAAGTGTCCAAATTGGGTATCGGTGTCGTATACGTATCCCACATCCTTATTTTTGTCATATTTGGTGGACATTGGTACTTTGGAGGAACTAGAAAAGTCCATGTAACACAGGTCATTGTGTTTGACCTTGGGGTGGGCAACCAAGGCAACTGACTTGGGCCCCTGGATTTTGAACCATAGTTGCATGAAGCAGGAGCGAGGGAGTGAGGGAGCAAGGGCCCTTACAGAAGAGTTTAAGGTTGGGAGTGGTGGAAACCCTTATTTTTTTGCTTTGTATTTCTAAATCCATTCATACCATTCTCCCTTTAATTAGATGTACTCGTTCATACTTTGCTTATTTTGTAAACTCTACTAATTGACAATGAAAGTTTTCATTCTTGCATGTGCTTTCATGTTTATACAAATGCTATACACACATGTAGAGACTTTGCTTATTTATTTCAATGTCTAGGTGGGAAGATGTTTGCATGTTCTGGGACTATAATAGAATGCGAGGATGTTAATGGAACATTCATCAGTACCATTTTAACTTCTGCGACTCTCCTAAGATCACCTATTGATGCAAATGTTGTACTAGATGACATTAAGGTGGTTGTTGTTGTTTTATTTTTTATTTATTTATTATAAAACACTTGGCATAGTACAATACTATTCAATGTTTTTCAATTAGCTAAAAAAACTAACTATAATTTTTTTGGGTGGGTATGATTTACTATTATTGCAGGTTGATGTTTATGTAATGAATGATAATCCATTTAACGGTCATGTGATTGCTTATGATTTTCACTTCAACATAGCTACTATTAGTATTGAAACAGATGTAGCATTACCAACTGCAATCATTAGACCTTTGGATGATTCAATCTCAATAGATCCAATTGAGATCTCGGGTACTGGGGACAATGAGGTGGCTTACAAATCGTTTCAGCTTCATCGTCATTCAAATTTATTTAGACTTTGTCCGGGAGATATGGTTGTAGCCATTGGCCGCTCCTGTGGTAGAACCCGTGACCTTATGGCTGCACCTGGCAAATTCAGGTACACAGTAAATTTACTTTACATGTTTAAATTTACGTTGTTACAATTTTCTTACACAACTAAGAGAATGTAAGACATATCTTAGTGCATGTACAGGCTGTCAAAGATTAATTGTATACGACATCCAATACCCAAATATTGCATTATTTTTTGTTGATCACAGTGCTTGTAAGTGGCATAACAATTATTCACACTTGCTCTTTTTCTTTCTGTGCAGTCTTGACTGCTGCAAATTTGATTGCAAAGAGCTTTTCAGGGCGAATTGCATTATTACAAAAGTAATAATTTCTCTTTTTTCCCTCTCTTATAACTATATTGGTTTTGGTTTTAAATTGGTGGTGAATGATGATGAATTTTTGTCTTTTAATTTTTCTTGGTATGCTATGCTAAGAAGAACAGACATGGACACAACAATTTAAAAAAAATGTTGGACACGACACGTAAGAGACTTGTACAAAATGTTTAATTTTATATATTTATATCTCATAAATAGAAATATATCATTTGTAAATAAAAAAATTGCAATATAACACTAACTTCTATAAATTTAGGAGTTGTTTGGGATGAACTATATAAGTGCCCTTTTTGATTCTTTGGATAAAAAAGTAGAGGAAAAAAAGATGGTTGTTTGGGATAACTTTTTGACTTTTTATGAAAAAATGTGTATTAAAATATTATATAAAATAGCAAAATTACCGGATTACCCCTAATGCCCCCTTATGCATGTACTGACAGTGATTATTTAGGAAGCCATATAGTACTCGTTGCTTTGAAGTTGTGTGGTGGACTGGACGGTGCTGTTCGGCCCGTGAGGGCTTACCACGGGTCCTGCTTTGATAATCCAAACCGTTCAATGTGTAGAACTTGTCAAGTACTATATGTTTGTGAAAAATCAAGTTGATTGGATATCGATAGCTATCTCATTGTATCATTTTTTTTTGTCAACTGTTAATTTATTCACCGTCCATTTTTTTTTTGGGTACAAAACTGATTTGATCATATAGCTATCGATATCTGATCAATGTGATTTTTTATAGGAATATAGCACTCGATGAGTTTTACACATTGCACGGTTCAGATTATCAAAATGGGACCAGTGATGGGCCCCCATGGGCTGAACAACACCATCCTGTGTAAATTTTTTGTGCACCCACCTGTGTAAATTTGTACTATCACTTACCATCACTTCAATACACAGTTGGCTTGTACTTGGCCTGTGTAAATTTGTTTTTTATATATATATATATATATTTTTTTGAATAATGAAAACTTTTTGGCTTTTTTAGTAATTTTTTGATTTTTTGTCTTTTATAGAAGATGCCAAACAAGCACTTATAATGTTTTCCTTCTGTCATTATATGTTAAGTTATTTTTTTCAAATTTATATTTAGTTTCATGTGTTTAATTGATGAACACATGTATTTAAGTGATGGACACGTTCATCCTTCAAGTGTTCGGGTCTAAAAATATTTGAAAAAAAATAGGGCATGTTTTGTTGAGTGTCAGACACGTGTCGAGAAAGTGTCCAACGAGTGTTGGTGTCCATCGGACACCGACACGACACGGATATACCACCTTCTTAGAAGTGTCTGTGCTTCTTAGGCTATACGTTTAGGGTTAGAGGTGGAGTAGATGTTAACTTGCCCCCACACCTCCTTGCCCTTATTGGAACGAAGTTGGTAAGAGCTCAATAGGGTTAGGGGCGGATTTTCGTTCAGACTCCATTGGGATTCAGGCCGGAGTTCGCATTTGCCTTCAAAATCCGCTCCAAGTCTGGCTAGTTTATATTATTATAATGAATGTGTAATCCTAATTTATTTCCAACAATTGCTTATATGTTTATATATATGCTGAATGTAGTCCACATTTAGGCATCCAGTATGCGGTAGAATGTAGAGCATACATGGTGAGAGTGCAATCTGTCCCTAGAGTGTTGTAGAAAATAATTGATGTATGTTGTGTGGTATGTATGAGTTAATGCACTGTGCTTTGGGTTTTGTTTGAGTAGATTGTATGTATTTTTAGCAATCTTTCAACTAATGATATATTTTCTTTGATAGAGTGGTATTGGGGGACCCCTTATCAATCATTATGGAGAAGTCATTGGAGTCAATTTTTATGATGATGTTTGTACCCCTTTTCTACCGATCAATATTGTTTCCCAATGCTTGTTGCGATTTAAAAAAAATCGGTATGTTCTCCAAATCATCATAGCTTCCATGTCTGTACTTTGCTTATTATGTGTTGCTAGATATCCTCAATTATGTTCCCCCCCGACCCCTCCCCAACACACACACTGCTCTCACAAAAAAAGAAATTTGTGGTCTGGAAGTTTGTTAGATCTTTTGTGAAGTAGGTACTAAAAAAAATGATATATGGGAAGCATTATGAAGCCGTCTTAGAGGGTCTAATGGTTTGTATCATGGCGTAGGAAATCCCGTCGACCTTGGCTTGGCTTGGTAATGACTAATCTTTATGCGGCAAGTGTAGGCAAGTTGGAAAAGATTATCTTGAAGTTCAATATTTCCAAAGGTGTTCTTGTTGAAGAGGTATGTTCTTTGCTACACCTTATTTTAGATAGATCCTGATTCTTTGGGGCAAAATCTTTTGGGCAGAGAAATGCTAGTTATCACCGGATTTATTTCACCTTCTTATTTCACTTCTCATGTGTACTCATGCAATAAAAGCCACTTGTATGTGTAGAACCCACTTTATTTGAAACTAGCTCATCATGCTACATAGGAAACCACATTAGAGGTGAAAAGTTTGGCGAAAAAAAAACAGTGATATTTAGCAGCCTTCTTTTTTGGATGTTCAAATATGACATAATTACAAGAAATTTGAACACACATCTAGAACATTGAGTTTTTGGTGTCAGAATAACTGCAAATTGCAAAATATTTATTTAGATATCTTGTTTCAACATGGTGAACTTCTCTAGTAGAATGCTAAGTTAAATGATATAAAGTTCTTTATCCTTTTTCTAGTTTTACTTTAGTGTTGGCATAAAAGCAATGAATTATATGTATATAATTTGGGTTTAATGTACCATTAGGGATAAGTTCACATGTCAAGCAATGAATTCTAGTCACAGTGTTTTTAAAAGCTCGAGGCGTACCAAGGCGCCGAAGGTCTCTTGGGGCTTAAGGGCAAGGCGAGGCGCGCTTCATTGCTTCATTGCAACAAGGTGCAGCTTTTCAATAAAAAATAGATATATTAACATAGACTAATGATTTAGATATCAACATAACCAAAACGCAGCATACACAACTTATAAACACCTGAGACAAATAATTTAAAAATAAAAAATGAAAGAACTAAAGCAAATAATAATTTTTCAAAGCCCATAAATGATCATATCATTCCAAATGCAAAATAATCAACATTCATCAAAAGCACCAATATTCAAGTTTAGTTTAACTATCTCAAAACATCAAAAAGGAGAGGAGAAGAAGAAAAGAAAATTGGAACCTGGAAGGAGAAGGGAGAAAAAAAAAACCTAACCAAAAAAATATATATATATATATATATATGAACCAGCAGGCTGGAAGAAGAAAAATAAGAAAAGAAAAAAAAAAAGAAAATTTAGATGTATCGACCATTTTTTTTTAGAGTTTTAATCAAGTGTGACTGCACATATTTCCATTTGAGAACTATTATCCACCGTGGCAGGACATATAATTTCATCTATGAGGCATAGACGCTTCAAAATAGGTGTCGTAGCAGTGTCAGACATGGGGACATGTGCCGGACACGTACAAGACTCGCCATTTGGCATGTCCCATTTTTTTTGGTATGGGACATGGAACTGGACACGGCAGGGTCAGAAAGCTCTAATGGAAGCGATAATCAGAAAGCCGTAATCAAAGAGAAGAGACCTCATCGAAGCCCTAATTAGAAAACCCTAATCAAAGAGAAGAAGCGACCTAATCTAGAATAAGAAGAAAAGAGAGAGAGAGAGAGAGAGAGAGAGAGAGAAGAGAAAAGTGAACCTGCAATTCTGTCATCGATCTCGTCTCTCGTCTCTATCATCAACCTCCATTCATCAAGCGTAATCAATCGTTGATCTCATCTCTCGCCTCTCTCTCTCTCCCTCCTCTCATCTCTCTTGTTTTTGTCGTGTGTGTCTCTCTTTCTTGTCTATTGTATATATTTATACACAATAATAAATATTGTATAATAAATATATATACAATAGACAATAATAAATATACAACATTTTTTAAATATCATATATATATACAATATTTTTTTATGTATAATAAATATCATATTGTATTCTATTTTGTTTATTTAAATATATAATATAATTTTTAAAAAATAGAATTTTAATTATTACAAATACATATATATAATTAAAATAATAGAATTTTATTTATTGCAAATACATATATATAATTAAAAAAAAAATTTCCATGTCCCCTACCTTTTTTGTTTCCCTATTTTTTTTGAAATCGCCGTGTCCCGTGTTTGTGCCTATGCTTCATAGAATTTCATCATAGACCAAAAAAAATGTAAAATTGTTGAGATTAAAACAAAAATTAAATAGCAGAATATCAATAAAGCATGCTCTAAGAAGCACGGACACGGATACGAATGCGAGCATGGGACACAGCAATTTCAAAAAAAAATGGGGGCACGGGCATGGACATGGCAGGGACAAGACAATAAAATATGTTTTCATATATTTTTATTTTCTATCTAGATTAATATTACCATCCACAAACAATCAATATTAACAAAAACTAACTCTAATTCTATAATTTTAATTTTTTTTTTAAACTTTTAAATTAACACTTACAATTTATATATATTTTTATGGTTGATCTATTAAGTATTTAAATCTAAGAACAAAATATTAAATATTCAATGTTCAACATTTATCAAAAACACTAAATAAAATGGGGTAAAAGATAACTTGGTATGTCCCCGAAGTGTCCCCGGTGTGTCCCATACTTGTACCCGCCGTGTCTGCGTGACCCCGAAGTGTCCGTGTATCCGATACAGATACGGCATTTGTTTTGAAGTGTCGGTGCTTCATAGAGAGTGCTTTTTTGTGCCTTGCACCTTGTACCTTGTGCTTTAAGCCCTCCAGGTGCGTGCCTTGGTGCGCCTTTTCAAACGTGCCTTGCCTGGGCTTGTACAAGTTGAGGCAGTTGTGCCTTGCACCTAGGCGCGCCTTTTACAACACCGTGCAGTCACCTCATCTTATTCTCTGTCAAGTCGAAGAAACCATTTCAAACCCCTTTCGCACCCCTTGCTGGATGTTTGGTCCTTGCCAGAGCTGGTGCCACATAGGATTATGGCAATAATAAAAGTTCTAAGAGCTTGCGGATTGGTTTATATATAATCCGGGGTTCTGCTGGTTGAGAGGTTTGAAACAAAGCACTTAATAAATATTACTGTAATGACATTTCATTACTAAGGGTTGTATTTGTGTTTTACAATTGCTGGCTATTTTGGAGTTTCAGCTTTAGGGCTGAGCAAGGAATCCGTGCTAATTTCTTCATGCATATTTCCCCCTTAAAACTCCATGCTAATTTCTTCTTTTGTTAATTATGTTCAATAAAATTTTGTAAGTTGTTGTTCATTAGTTTGAAGTGTTTGATTGTTAGATAAGATAAATATCTCAATTCAAATTTTTAAGATGAGAGTTAATTACCAAGTGTGCATACATATGTATGTGTGGATGGATGTTACGTATGCATGCATGTAACCAACTGCAGACTGCACTACCTAATCTTCCAAACTATCAAATAGGTTATAAAAGGATCCCCAGGGTCCCCTGCTGAGCAAGCAGGAATACTCCACGGTGATGTTATTGTTCAATGTGGAAAAAAGGTGGTTCAAGGTTTTTTGGAGGTATATCACTTTTATCATTGTTGTTATTATGCTCCATTGTAATACTTCAATATATAGAAATGCCCCATCAAAAATGAGGGGAAAAAGATAATTAACTGTGTTTTGTCTTCCTTTTTCTTGTGCTTTTTGTTGCTTTTATAATAGTATAATCCTTTCCTCATAACTATCTTCATTCTCATTATTGTTGTCATTATGATTACCATCAGCAATTAGCATATAAATGTCATCCCAACGGATTAGGTGCACAATATCCATTATTGGTGATTTTAGTTAGATTTAACTCTTTTCTTTGTTTCCTTCACGCTTGAAGTTTATAACTGAAAAATGCTAAGATTTTGTTTTGGTGGATATCTTGTATTGCATGTGATTTACCAATTCTGCTGTTCGCCTTGCTTATATTTGTCAGTGTGTTTGTAGTCTGGAACAATGTTTTGAAAACTGGACTGGTGAGCGAACCGGAAAAGGGACCGGATGGACAGGTCACTGGTTTAATTGTCGGGTCAAAGTGATCGAACCGTGACGTCATAATTAATAATATATAATTATAAATTATATATAAATAAAAAAAATATATAAGTACAGAAATAAAAATTGTTACATAGTATTTACTAATAATATTTAATAAAGTCATAATTGATATAAAAAAAAAATCTTTAGTTTTAAAGAAATTAAAAAATTTTAATATTTCCTCTAAACAAATTGATTGAATACTAAATTTAATTTTGGAGGGAAATAAAATTTTCAATTCTCCCTACAATCAAATATGATTCAAATAATTTGATTGAATCCGACATAAAATTTTTAGGTTTTTTTTTTTTTTGGATAAATAGAATTTTTAGGTTCTCTTTGAACAATCTTTTCCTATAAATGGGAATAGAATTTCGTAATCTTTTCAAGCTTCTAATGAGACTCCTCATGGGAGGTGATTCTTGAAGTAAGAGTTTTTAGTCAAAATTTTGATATATATATATATATATATGAAAGAAAAAAAGAAAGAAAAAAAAAATCAAAAATTTGCAACCAGCAGGTTAATTGAAAACCGGGACCGGTTCACGGGCTGTACCACCGGTTTTTCTGGTTCTTGCAAACAAGCTTGGTTTTTGGCCTACTCTGGACTGGACCGGACCGGAACTAGGTCTGGTCATCGGTTCTATTGGTTGAACCAGCCGGTCCTGTCCGGTTCTATAGACATTGGTCTGGAACTTGTGAACGAAGTGGTGATGAAGAAAGTTTTGAGCACAGACAATCCTTTGCCCTCTGATCCATCAAAATAGTAATAATAATAATATAAAAGTGCTAATAATAAAACTAACAATAATATTAGTACTAATAGTCTTAATGTTTTAGTAGCAGCAGCAACGGCATAGCAACAATGATCATAATAGTAGTAGTAGTTATCATAATAGCAATAGCAGTAACAATAATTGTAATAATATTACCAATAATATAGGGAAAATAGCAAAGGATATATAATATCATGTCACATCTTTCTCACCCATCTTCTCTTCCTTTCTCAAAAACCAAACAAACCTCTTACCTTTTCTTCTTTTTACTTAGTGGGCTTTTTAATTAGTGTTTAGACTCCGAGACAGCAAAATGGAAAGTGAGGTTGAAAATGGGAGTGTGCTTTACAGCCCGAGGTGTTGCAGCCTTTTGCTTTGTTTCCCTAACTCATCTCTATTTTGCCTTAACCCAGCTCTATCTTTTGGCCTAACCCATCTCTCTGTGTTCACCTAGTCTCTCCTCGTCCTTCTATAAGGCCTGGTTAATTTTGGTTGTCAAGCCCGTATAAGTCACCAATTTCACTATTTTGGTTGTCAAGTCCCTATAACTGGTTTGCTGCATCTTGGTGAGGTATAGTGGTGTTCTTTTGCAATTTTGGTCTTGGGTACATTTGAGTGTACTTTTGTTAGCTTGGATTTTGGGTGCTATCACTTGGTCAATCCTTATGGTTAGCTACTTAGATCAAAATGAATTGGTGTGTAGACAAAAAGAACGTTTCTTGGTTGGAGGTTAACTGAATTAGTAAAATTCAGGGTTGTTCATTGGTTAAAAGTCAAAGCATGATGACATCCAACAATAGTGAATAATTTTGTGATCAACATCAAAGGACTGAAGGCTTATTTGGTGTGGAGTATGAAATCAGGTCCCAAAAGACACATAAAAGACATTATCCGGTGGAGTCCTATTCAATTAGGAGTATTGAAGCGGAATAATATTGATGGTCATCAAGAGGAAACCCTGGCTAGGCTTGTGTAGCATGGCTTTCTAAACAAAATAACAATTGAAGTGAAATTTTTAGGTGGTTGATTACAATCAGGGGATTTTGTCCATGTCTTCGTAACATAGATTTCAATTACGCATTTGGTATTCATTGTAACACTGTTGAAAATGACAAATTTCGTATGAGCTGTCTTGGTTCGAGTGGTTGGGGGCTAAAAGCTTCCTATATAGGTGCCCGGTCTTGTGATAAGTCATTAAAGTAGTTAATTGTGGGACTCATTAAGTGGCTGAGTGTCATTTATGGGATGCCTTTGTTGTCTATTGACTGCCAATAACTATTTTGCTTTTTCATGATGAACCTTGTTAATATTTTTCTTTTTAGTTTGGTTTCCTACTATTGCTCATTTACCATTTGCATTATTCTCCTATTGTTGGTTTAATCTCTTTCTCCTGCTGGTATCAGTTCTATAATATAATATGGAAGAAGGTTGGGAAAACTGTGGGGGTGATTGTGATTAGAGAATCGTATGCTGCCCGTTTGTATCTGGAAGTGTTTGTTGATGATACTAGAGCAGATAAAGTAAATAGGTAAATATTTTGTATGCTTTTTGATATGTCTACATATATATATTTATATCAATCTTTAAAATGGGTGTGAATTCATGAGATTTTTTTGTCAAACCAAACTGTTTGGTTCTTTTGATTGTTTTATCTTTATATTTGCGATGCAGGGTAAATTGCATCTATCCGCCTGCATTTTAATGTTGGTTAGAATGTCCTCGGCACACTTTTAGTCGAAACAGTCTCTACATATTGAAATTGTGAAATTTGCCCCGTTAGTCTGTGTAAAATTTACCCTTGTTTTTAAACATGGGAAAATTTTAACCCACATTAAAGTGCAAGTGGGCAGTCGTTGCGATAAATTATAGTGATTTATTAGAAGAGTAAGATTCTTCTTTTTTTAGTATTGTAGAATTTATAATTTATAATTTTTGAGGAATCATTTCGCGAACATGAAGTGGTTTTATTAGCATTTTTTTTTGGTAGGGAGGTTTTATACTTTATGATTACAATTTTTATGCTTCATTCTGATTTTGTATCATGTAACTTGTCTTCTCAGATGGCCAGTACCTGAAAAATGCAATGCTTCGGTTGGAAGAATTCGATATCAGTATCGATAATATGTTCTTTGTGCAGTGGTGTTTTGTTGGGACGGTTCAAGTTTTCACGAGGCTTAAAAGAGAAATTTTATTTGGAGGCTTTTTATATTTAAACTTATATTGTCATATTTATTAGTATTTTTGTTAAAAAAAATATTTATTAGTATTTGGTAAATTATTATGTAAACTCATTATGTGACTAAAATTTGGAGGTTATTTAAAGTGTTTAGCTATGAAAGTAAAGAAATTAAGGGCTTGTTTGAGAAGATGGGTTGGGGCTAAAATAGCCATATAAGACAAAATAAGCTATTTTAGCTCAATAAAACAAAATATCACATCCAATTCATAATCATTATATTTTTCTCACAAAAAATTCAAAAAAGTCAAAAAGTCTTTCCAAACGAGGTTTTTTAGTCTCAGGTTAAAATAGTAAAAAAGCCAATTCACTTCACAAACGAAGGCTAAAAGTGTCAAAAGTTATCAAATAAATGTCAACATATAAATTCAAAGTGAATACTAAAACGGGGTGGTCAATTCTATGTTCAAATTGGTAGGGGGCTTGCACCCAAAAAATTTTGTTGGTAAGGAGCTCTTTTTAAAGTGAGCTTTCTTAGAGCTTCTCTAATCGTTCATCAAATCTTTCAACAAATTTAAGTAAAACTTTAATGAAAAATTTGATTTGATTTGATATGATGCACTTTAATTGTTTTCAACAATTTTGTTGGTCGTCCAGTCAATTGTTCGACGTAAAGTAAATTTTGATCAAAATCTAGTCGTTCACCTAGTTGTTTCCGAATTACCCATTTGGTTGGTCATTCACCAATGGTCAATTTTGAAATTTGATGAAATGTAAAATGTTTTCTCAATTTGATGAAAATTTTGGCACTTCATTTGATATTATTTTGGTGATAAGATTGGAGTATTGTTTTTATTAAATTTAAATTTGATAAAAAAAAAAAGTGAGTGAATGTTTTAGATCATCTTAAAGTTACCCGTCATTTTTTTATTTTTTATGAGAAAACGGAAGATAATATCATTTATATCCAAAAAGGAATTACACATTGTTCGGCCTTCTACTACGGCTGCTTTAGCCAAAACATGAACCATTGTTACGTGAAGTCAAGGGACTTTAGAAATACAAACATAATTTAAGTTGGAACAAAAATAACATATGTCCAGCAATATATTTAGCTACTATTCTGCATTTTCTTGGAACAAAAGAATTTACAGTGGAAGCTCCACCCATTTTGCTGCTTTACAAAGGGGCATCATTAACATTAAAAGTTCTACTTTGCTCATGCACCAGCTGGAGAGAATTAATATATCTCAAAACATAACCATGATCTTCCACTACATACTCAAAAGTTGCTTTATTCCTATGATGCCAAATTCCCCACAACGCCTTAACAGATTCAATCGATGCATCATCATCTGGTGCATTTTGGAACCGCTGTCCCAGCCAATCATGAACCAAACATTCCTCCCCATTTTCAAAATTAAGCCCAAGACTAGAACTCTCCAAATGTGTTTAGAGAAAATACATTGAAAACAAAGATGTTCTAATGCTTTCTCTTCTACTCCACACCTTGAACACACAGGATAAGACACTGCGACGCATCAGAAAATTTTTAGCAGGTAATTATATGTAAAATCTTCCACGTAAAAAATGCCCATTTTGGAGGCATCCTTGACTTCCACAACTTCTTCCAACATCCACTAAAGACCCAATTACCTGAATGATGTACCATCAGTCCCTCTTTCATAGCAAGAAAAAAGCCAGATTTAGGCCTCCACACTTACTGGTCATGTTCATTAACTTGGGGGAGATTTATATTCAAAAGGTGATTTACCATATTTACTGGAAAAAGAGTTTGAATCAAAGGTTTTCACAACGACATATTGATTTGATTAATAAGGTGAGTGACTTTAAAGTATCTGAACAATCTACCCATCCCTCTTCCTATCATCTCATCACTAGTTAAAGTAGGAATCCATTGATCATCAAAAGCATCAATACTTTCGCCATTTCCGACAACCCAACTCAAACCTTTTTTAAGAAGATCACTTCCCCAAAGAATGCTCCTCCATGCCCATGAGCAACCTGATTTTGGTTTAGCCTCCATAAACACATCTTTCAAACAATATTTTGCCCAGAAAAATCTACTAATAAGAGATTGGGGATTCTGAATAATTCTTCATGCTACCTTAGCCAGCAAGGCTTGATTCAACAAACACGGATCACGAAATCCAAGACCACTTGCTGCCTTTGGTAAGCAAAGAGTATCCCATTTTTTCCAAGTAATTCCCTTACCCTCAGAGCGTTTCCACAAAAAGTTTCCGACAATACTGCAAATTTTACGAATAAAGTACATCGAGGATTTAAACATAAATAACACATGCAAAGGGATTGAAAGAAGAGAATGTCTAACCAAAACACATCTCCCAGCAAAAGACAGAAGACTACGTTTCCGACCCGATAGCTTTGCAGAAAATCTATTCAGAATGTCTAAACAAATCCGTTTTACAAGACCCCGCACCCAAGTACATACCAGGTCTATCCACCAATCTTATCCCAATACAATCACCAAGAAAACCTCGCTGAGCCAATCCCATATTAGGACTAACAATCAGTTCAGATTTATGATAATTGATCTCTAGACCTGATTGATCCCAAAAGGCTTCCAAAAACCATTTGAGGCACCAAATACATTCCAAATCAAATTCCATGAAAAATAAACAGTCATCCGTGAAAAGAAAATGAGAAATAGCCGGTGTATCACGACTGATAGAAATCCCTCTACAAACACCCTGGGACGCAAGAGAATCTAACCCCAATCACGACTGATACAAATCCCTCTACAAAGACCCTGGGACGCAAGAGGAAATAGCAGATTTCATGAGAAAGGAAAACTAATATCAAAGAGTTGGTACCCATCTCTCTCTCTCTCTGAGCTGAGCCGTAATCCATTCTGTTTCTGATGATTGAAACTTTTTATTCCAGGAGCCCTTCCTCTGATGATTTAGCGTAAACTCTCAAGGTATGGGATTAAAATTTAATGGCTGATTTTGTTGTCGTCCCAAGCCTGAACTCAACACCAAACTATATCATCTTTCTCACCCATCTTCTCTTCCTTTCTCAAAAACCAAACAAACCTCTTACCTTTTCTTCTTTTTACTTAGTGGGATTTTTAATTAGTGTTTAGACTCCGAGACAGCAAAATGGAAAGTGAGGTTGAAAATGGGAGTGTGCTTTACAGCCCGAGGTGTTGCAGCCTTTTGCTTTGTTTCCCTAACTCATCTCTATTTTGCCTTAACCCAGCTCTATCTTTTGGCCTAACCCATCTCTCTGTGTTCACCTAGTCTCTCCTCGTCCTTCTATAAGGCCTGGTTAATTTTTGTTGTCAAGCCCGTATAAGTCACCAATTTCGCTATTTTGGTTGTCAAGTCCCTATAACTGGTTTGCTGCATCTTGGTGAGGTATAGTGGTGTTCTTTTGCAATTTTGGTCTTGGGTACATTTGAGTGTACTTTTGTTAGCTTGGATTTGGGGTGCTATCACTTGGTCAATCCTTATGGTTAGCTACTTAGATCAAAATGAATTGGTGTGTAGACAAAAAGAACGTTTCTTGGTTGGAGGTTAACTGAATTAGTAAAATTCAGGGTGGTTCATTGGTTAAAAGTCAAAGCATGATGACATCTGACAACAGTGAATAATTTTGTGATCAACATCAAAGGACTGAAGGCTTATTTGGTGTGGAGTATGAAATCAGGTCCCAAAAGACACATAAAAGACGTTATCCGGTGGTGTCCTATTCAATTAGGAGTATTGAAGCTGAATAATATTGATGGTCATCAAGAGGAAACCCTGGCTAGGCTTGTGTAGCATGGCTTTCTAAACAAAATAACAATTGAAGTGAAATTTTTAGGTGGTTGATTACAATCAGGGGATTTTGTCCATGTCTTCGTAACATAGATTTCAATTACGCATTTGGTATTCATTGTAACACTGTTGACAAATGACAAATTTCGTATGAGCTGTCTTGGTTCGAGTGGTTGGGGGCTAAAAGCTTCCTATATAGGTGCCCGGTCTTGTGATAAGTCGTTAAAGTAGTTAATTGTGGGACCCATTAAGTGGCTGAGTGTCATTTATGGGATGCCTTTGTTGTCTATTGACTGCCAATAACTATTTTGCTTTTTCATGATGAACCTTGTTAATATTTTTCTTTTTAGTTTGGTTTCCTACTATTGCTCATTTACCATTTGCATTATTCTCCTATTGTTGGTTTAATCTCTTTCTCCTGCTGGTATCAGTTCTATAATATAATATGGAAGAAGGTTGGGAAAACTGTGGGGGTGATTGTGATTAGAGAATCATATGCTGCCCGTTTGTATCTGGAAGTGTTTGTTGATGAGACTAGAGCAGATAAAGTAAATAGGTAAATATTTTGTATGCTTTTTGATGTCTACATATATATATTTATATCAATCTTTAAAATGGGTGTGAATTCATGAGATTCTTTTGTCAAACCAAACTGTTTGGTTCTTTTGATTGTTTTATCTTTATATTTGCGATGCAGGGTAAATTGCATCTATCCGACTGCATTTTAATGTTGGTTAGAATGTCCTCGGCACACTTTTAGTCGAAATAGTCTCTACATATTGAAATTGTGAAATTTTCCCCGTTAGTCTGTGTAAAATTTACCCTTGTTTTTAAACATGGGAAAATTTTAACCCACATTAAAGTGCAAGTGGGCAGTCCTTGCAATAAATTATAGTGATTTATTAGAAGAGTAAGATTCTTCTTTTTTTAGTATTGTAGAATTTATAATTTATAATTTTTGAGGAATCATTTGGCAGACATGAAGTGGTTTTATTAGCATTTTTTTTTTTTGGTAGGGAGGTTTTATACTTTATGATTACAATTTTTATGCTTCATTCTGATTTTGTATCATGTAACTTGTCTTCTCAGATGGCCAGTACCTGAAAAATGCAATGCTTCGGTTGGAAGAATTCGATATCAGTATCGATAATATGTTCTTTGTGCAGTGGTGTTTTGTTGGGACGGTTCAAGTTTTCACGAGGCTTAAAAGAGAAATTTTATTTGGAGGCTTTTTATATTTAAACTTATATTGTCATATTTATTAGTATTTTTGTTAAAAAAAAAAAAAAAAAAAAAAAAATTTTGGTTTTTTAACATAAAACATTAATAAAAAGTTAAATAAAATTATTTTATTTTTAAATTGAGACATTTAAATTTTGTTGAATTTTATTAAATATAATACATAATTAAATAGTAGTGGGTCAAAATAGTCATTTCACTACCTAATTCTAACAATGGATAGTCCCCCGAAAATTGTCCCCTCCTAGGATACAATAGTCCCCCATATGAGGGATAAGGAGTCCAGCCGGATTCCATGTCCGGCGGACTAAAAAAAAAAAATGCTAGATTGAATGCTTCCCCCGGAATACAATCCGCACAGTAAATAGTCCCCTTTTATCCCTCCAATCAAACACAGTAAATAGTCCCCCTCCTTACATCGATAATCTAAATTTGCGAATAAATGGAAATTTGATTAATAAGAACTTTACATCGTAATCTCATGGTAAAAACCGTTTGTGTAAAATATCAGTTTCATCAAATATTGATAAATATATGTACAAATCATTTTTTTATTTTATAAAACGAAAGGTTCAAGTTTAAACTCATAGTTACCATCTATTTTAAAAAATAAGATACAATTTATTCATACATCTAGTAACATCCAATGAAATTAGTTTCTTGCATAACTCATATAAATTGTTGAAATTAGTTTCTTGCATAACTCATATAAATTGTTGGAATTACGAGATAAGCGGTTTAGATTATCATTGTGAGTCTAAAATGAGTCGAAAAAAATTCGAGTATGGAAGGGATCAATTTTTTATCATTTGGATATTTGATCCACTAAATCGTAATTATCATATTTAAAATGTTTTATCCTTAAAAATATTTTTTGAACGTTTAGCAACTTGGTGATGTAAACATTCTTATTTTATAGTATGAATGTTCACATTGACGTGTGAATGTTAATATTACGGAATATTTACACTATAATATTTTTATTTTATCACATTTGTCTTTAAAATAATAAATAATTTATTTAAAAAAATATATTTGTTAGAGACAAACACGATAAAATAAAAATGGTATAATTATTAAATAGATTTATTTATTTATTTATGAATTCTATACGCAATAAAACCTTAAAAATAAATGAAATGATTCGGATTCAAATAATTTAAACAAAGGCAATAGCGGTGAGAGCTCTTCCGCAAAACAAACACAACAAATGGTGAGTTGAGTTGTATCACACTTCGTCCTCATTTTGAAATCTTGGTCCGTTCGTCCGTTCTTCAGATCTGTAATTGTTTTCATTAGGTTTAGGGTTTTGATTGAATTTGGTTGTCTTATGCATTGGAATATTGCCCTGCATTAAAGACCCATTTTTAGACGAGGAAAAGGTCTCATACAAAGCTGCCATGAAAAGAAGTTTCATCATCTCCATGAAAAGTAAACGCATGCGAAGTCAAAGGTTGAAGTGAAAGAGGACAGCAATGCCAATTGTTGGAAGAACATACTCAATTTGAGTTTAAAGATGTTGAATTCCAGAAAAGAGATGAAGCTGCGAGAGGATTCTAGGTTGAAGAAGAGAAGTTCAAAATAAAGAAGAAAATAGAAGTTGCTGGAAGAAAGTGGAAGCTTCAAGGTAGCTCTATTGATGAAGCTTAGCTTTCGAGAAGCACTGTAGCACACACAATTTACACACAGTTGTGGAGTCTATAAATAGAGGGTTGATGGATTGTTTTAGATAGAGTGGAAGAAGAAATGTAATTTTCAGAGAGAAACACAACGGGTTTGTTTGGTTTGTATCTCAAGATACAATTTTTGAGAAAAATTTTCAAAATTTTGTTTGGTTCAAATTTTTTGAAATTGTTTTCCAAAATCACTCTCTCTCCTATACATCAATCAATCATTTTTTTCTCTCTCATCTCTCCTTCTCAATCACTTTTTCTTTCACACACATTTACTCAACTACAACAAAATATCAAATCATCCCAAACTTCCAAACTCCAAAACTATTTTCAAAATATACAACCAAACAAACCAAAAAAATTTCTAAACTCTTTGCCCAAATTTTTTTTTAATAAAATTTATCTCAAAACACAAACCAAGCACACCCAACATCTCTAGATAAGAAGAATTCTAAGAGAGTAGAGAGTATGAGAGTTTACAGAGAGATAATTTTGTTTTGTATAATTTGTTTGTGATTAAATAAAAGGAGTGTTTATTCAATTAATTCCTCTATTTGTATACCATCACAACCGGTATACACCCATCACCCACTTTTAACACCAATGCTAATGTCAATGCCAATCCAACAACGTCGAGAGATTTTGTACAACTGGATGAAAAAGGTGGTTGTTGTTGTATCATCACGGCCGATTATTCCAAGATCGTCATCGTCGGAGGAAGATGGTAGCGAGTACGGTGCCGGTGTGGTGATAAACAGATATGGATATATTTTGAGATGCGCACATTTGGTACTTGAGGGTAATGTTGTAACGGTACGTCGCAGGGAAGGTAAAGCTTTTCAGAAAGTTGAGGTATTTTTGAGAGCGCCCTAGTATGACCTAGCTATTTTGAAAACCAAGGATATGGATATGAGACTTTTTCATTCTTATGAATTCTGTAAACTCGGTAGTAAAAATTGTATAGACATTGGGATAGAAGTATTTTTTATAACTCACCCTAACCAACTCGATTATACTTTTGTAATAAGGCAAGTTGCTAAACCTAGGAAGGAGGCATTTGCTCTTCCTATTAATCCTGACCATCATTACTTCAACACTTTAATGTGATGCAGTATAGACTTGATAGTAATTCAAATTAACAACATATGTGTGGCTTATGGCTCAATGGGGCTCATATTTTTGACTCGAATGAAAAAGTTATTAGGTTGATAGCTTTTAGAGATGACTTTGATTTTGCCATCCGTTCTCATTTTCTAAATAAATTACGTGTCTATGTGTAAGGAAAGACTACAAGGCAGCAGTATGAGGAATTGATCAAAGTTTGATATGTGAATTTTTTTTTTTTCCTTTTTCTTTCTTGTTAAGACATGATTTAGTTACTGTCACACCCCAAATCCGGGCATGACCGGCCGTGGCCCACAGGGACTTAGCCCAAGGCACATGTAAGCCTAAACAAGAATCCAATCACATTGAAAAACTGAACAATAGTCCAATAATAAATAACCAAAACTCAATCCAGACATGTCACAATTATAAACGGCAAAATCAACCGTAATAAAAAAACCATCCAAACTTATAGGATATAAACAACCCACATATAAAAAATAATCCTAAATGAATTTCGATAAGAATAAATATAAATATGCACAAACGTGACATAACACTCTAAACTAAAGGAATGCCCTAGAGGTCCATGCAATTGAGTCCCCGCTACGCCATGAGTCCACTCTAAGTCCTTCTAACACCTGGAAATGGTAAACAACTAAGTCAGCTGATAGCTCAGTGAGTAGCAACATGGATAGTAAATACAGTTTTGAAAACGGGGTTCAATTCCAAAATAAGATATATATCACAGAAACTAGATTGGCATACAGTTTGGTAAATACAATCTGTTTCAAAAAGAAGGTTCCACAATTCAACACTTAAACTACTCATGTCTCGCAAGAACATGATAAACAACATTTTCCACTTAAAACAGATTATAACATGAATACCAATAATTTTTTGGGTACCAATAAAAACAAATAATCTGCCACACAGTTCTCAAGGCTACAAGCCCCGTTGGATCCAATACCGAACTAAGAGTCATCCTCAGGGTGGCACCTGGGCCTTTTCTCAAAGACGATCCGATTGAAGGTCACCTAGTTGTTTTTAAAGGTCTGTTCCTTACAATCGTTGAGCACTAGAGTCATCACGGCCCAACCCGGATCTGTTCCCTAGTGGCCAGAGTCACCACACACAGTGGAATAACTTCCTTGGACTAAATACACACATGGTCCCAATAATCAATACACATCAGTTTCGCAAAACATGGTAGTTCATCATTATAAACATGAGACCAAAACTATAGCGATCCCGGGTTTACCCTTGTTGTGCAGTGATCCGGACATGTGTCCGTGGTTGTGGGTAGTTGTTTATTATCTTGTTTGCATCCTTTTTACTTCGTATTTGAGTTATAGGATGTGTTGGGCAGGTTTGTTACAGGTTGGTTGAGTTTAGAAACCAAAACTAGTTGCCCAGATTTTGACCTGTCCGCTCGAGCGGGGGTGTTGGCGCTCGAGCGGGGATTGCACCCATCCAGTATTTTTTGTGCAGTGTTGGACGCTCGAGCGTGGTATTGGCCGCTCGAGCGGGGTTGCGTGAGTGCCGCTCGAGCGGAGAGTTGGGAACTCGAGCGGAGACCTGGTTCTGCAGAAGTTCTGGGAGTGTGTATTCGCCGCTCGAGCGGGATTGTTGGCGCTCAAGCGGGAGTCTGTGAGTGACGCTCGAGCGGAGTGTTTTATGCTCGAGCGGGCCGACTGGGTTTTAGTTCCGTGTTTTGACCTTTCAAATCACGTTTTCACTTTCTCTTCTCTCTCCTACTTTTCCAAAAACACCATTGTTGAGCCTCTCACTCTAGAACTCTACCTTCTCTCTAGGTTTTGATCTAGTAGGAGTGATTTGCTCACCTTTGGCCTTTACAAAAAAAGTTGTTGATCGTCAGGGCTACATTTTAATCTGAAAATTTCGAGATTTGGAGCACGTTGGGTTTTGTCATCTTCTTCTTTGGGGCTCCGAATTTGAGGTAGGGATATCCTACTCCTCTCTATGGGTTTTGTCTTTAAATTTTGGTATTTGGAGATGTTGGGGTTGGTTTGGTAATCTTGTGAAGATTTGGGGCTTTTGTGTTATTTTACAAAAGTTGGGGTTTTATTCATAATAAACCCTAGATGCAGTGTTTGGGCATAGAGAAATGGACTAAATGTTTGAATCATTGATGAAAATGGGCACCATAAGGTTGTAATGTAATTAGGAAAATGACCTAATTAACTTGGTTGATTAATGGATAATTATTGGAGAAATGAGAAATGAAATGGACTTGTTGAGAGTGGTGCACATGATGGGGTTAAAGGTGTAGTGAATATTTGTACTCACCGGATTGAAATGTTGATCTGAATATCCTTGTCATTGTGATTTGCTTTTAGAAAAACTGCTTTGGGCTTATCGGTGAAGGATAGTCGTTGATTGTTGTAGACAATGCCCCCCAATGATGATTAGGCAAACGGAAACTAATTAATGGAATTGTCATGGAATTTGACGGTTGATAAAATACATTAACTGTATGTATTGAGTGATTGTATATAGAACCAATGTGTTTGTATACGTTATGTGTAGAGGAGGAGATGGGGGATGTACTCCCGCGTTTAGGGAAGATGGGGATGTACTCTAAAACCGGATAGTGTTGGGAGAAGATAGGGGATGAACTCCGTAGATCAAGCTCATATGCTTGTCTAGAGAAGTGAAGATAGAGCTCATATGCTTATCTTTGTGAAGTGTGGATATAGCTTATATGCTTATCTGTGGATATTGTGGTTATACATATCTGTTGTAGAATGTGGATATAGCTTATTTGCTTATCTGAGAATGTGGATATTGTTGTTATACATATCTGTCGAGAATGTGGGTAGTGCTTATATGCCTATCCGTTGAAAAAGGAGAAAATGAAAAGTAACTTGGACTCTTAAGTCGTATGACATAAATATTGTGATTTATGTGAATGTATCAGTGTTGGCCATCTATTAATTGCTAATCTTTTAGTCATGGTTCATGGTTGTTTAGTATATTTCTACTGGGCTGTGGCTCACCCTATATGGGAATATCATTTTCAGGTACAGGTAGCATGCCACCTCCAAGGACATAGCTTGGGAGGCTAGAGGCGGACATACTATTGTCGTTTTACTTTTTGATGCATTACATGTGAATTCAGGCCAAGGCTTAATGTGTATGAGTTAGTACTCTTTGTTATACACCAAGTGTTAACTTGGAAAGCTGTAAGCCCTTAGGGCATTTGCTTTTGTGTTAACATGTAATACTTATGTAATGGAATTCTGATGTAATGGAAGAATGTGGAACTTTTACATATCAATGCATGTCTTATTTGTTGGGTTTAATGTTATTAATTTGAGGGCGTTAACAAAAACAAATAGTTTACACTATGCCAAGTTCACACATGTTTTAGAAATAATTTGTTCCATTAATAATATAATAATTAATCAAAACAGTTTAGTCTTAAAACAACAATTTAATTTTCCAACAGTTCGGGGTAGGGGAACATTTATAAAAATCGTAGCATGAAACTACTCACCTGGAAACGAAATAATATAATCCTCGTAAGAGTGTAAAAAGTCCAACTAGTGCCCTGGACCAACGTATAAAAAACTACACGTCACTACTAATTTAAAAATACTAAAAAATAGGAACTAAGTAACCTCAAACTAAAGTGCACTAACACGGCTCAACCCAATTCACCGTTACTCTTAAATATTATCTAAGTTCATGTTCTTCAAGATTTAAATTCACCCAAGACATGGGTTCCGGTTGAAACTTAATTAAATGTGACTTTGAGATAAAACAGAGTTTTAAACAAGTTTTCCCAATCTATTCGCTAACTTTGAAAATTACAAAACCCACTCCACGCTATTCGAAAAATTCCAATAACCTCCAGATATGATCTAATATATCCTAAGTTTCAAACCCAATTGGTTTCACTTGATTTTCTTATCAAAATAATTATCTACAATTTATTATATCCAAACAGGTTGTTTTGTGCAGCACTTTAAAGAAATTGATGTTTCTCTTAATATACACGAGCAATCAATGCAAGGCCAAAAACGTACGAAACTAGACTCGTAACCGGTTCTAATGACACTAATTTGATAATTTTTGGATTTATACCCACAGAGAACAATACTCCCGAATTTACTATTTCGGACTTGTTTCCTGGACAGATTTGAATACCTCAATTTATATGGATTTTGACTCCCAAAAATTATGAAAAAATTCAGATATGCAATTCAATATGTAATTGATCTACTGTAAAAATTTCAGATTAAAATTCATCCGTTTGATATGGTTTCTTGATTTTTAAAGTTTGCGATTCTGTGCAGAATTTTTTTGAACTAAGAATTACACTCATTCTTTATACATCAATTTTACTCCTCAGATTTCTTAACAGCATGTATATATACACAAAATACATACACCTACAATCTCTCCATCAATGAATTAAATAACAACATTATTAGGATAAAGAACAAAGAAAGAAGAGAAGAAAACCTAGGAGGCCACACAGCACAACACACCCAAAGCTCTCCTTCTTGGCTACAACAATAATCTTGATGATTGAAAAACCCCTCTCTTTCCTTCATAAACCCACGGCTGCTAGGGCTGCTAGTGTTGTGGAAAACAATTATAACAAGAGTTAGGGTTTGTGTTTATTTTATTTTATACTAGTGGTGGGCACACTTAGGTCAAATAGATAGATAAATATACAAAACACATATATAAGTTACATGCAACTCAAATGGTAAGAGCCTAACTTATTAATTATGTGGTCTAGAGTTCAAGTCACACCTTTTTCTCCATTTTTTTTTTAATAATAAATCTTGCTTCTAAATCAATGACTTCAACCATAAATTTATTTTAGGTTTAAAATTAATTAAAAGATCCTCCAATAATATTTAATTTGTACCTTAGAATTCACCACCAAAATATTTGAGATTGTAATATTATTATTTAATTATTTACTTAATTTTTATATTCGGGTTCTCACAGTTACTACTTTTGTGCACATGTGAACAAGGCAAAGTCAAAAATGAAAAGTTTCTAGGTTCCTTTGAGGTTCTTGAAGTTCTTTGGATATCTACCTCTTTATTCTTCACAGTAATTTTTTTATTGTTGTGCATTTCTCATGTTGTTTTTTTTTAATCCGTTAAGCTTGCACCACTTTGTCCCATGCTTTGTGGAATGGAAACAACACTAATGAATCACACATTCCCAATTTTTGTTTTTATGCTTATATTCTTGCTGTAATCTCTGTTATGTTGGCTGTTGAATAGATTTAATTTTAATGTAAATTTGTCTAGTTTTTTAAGAGAATTGTGATTAAGAAATTCCTTCAAATATTATTATTATTTTTTTAATTATGTGAGTAGCCATTGTTTATTGTTTTTCATTATTTAAATGAAGTGGTGGAGGATTTTGCATTAAATTTCACTATAGAATTTTATTCCACGATGTATTTGTGCCTTTGTTTAGCAAATTATGGACATAATATAATGGCACAAAACAAATAACTAGAAATCCCTCAGCATTTTCATACAAAGTCTGATAATTTTGATTGAGTATGCATATTAAATCAAATAATGATTTAAAATTGTTGAGAAGGATTTTGAAATATATATTGTATTGGGTTTGTGTAAAATGAATTGAGGGTTGAAAAGGGATGTGCAGGTGCTCAACATTTGCATGGAATAAGCAGGTGGTGGGGCATGGGTTTATAGTGGCACTACAGGAAATTCAAGTTTTAGCGGCGTTTTTAAAATGCCGCTAAAAGCTTGAAAAATGCCGTAAAAATTTATAGTGACGTTTAAAATTTTCGCCGTTGATACGGCCGTCGCAATAGGTTTGCAGCGTTTAATAGACGTCGCTAAAACTATTAAACGGCGTTTTTTAAAACGCCACAAAATGTTGGCGTCCGCTTCTATTACCGTCACAAACTAACGTGTGACGTGAGCATGACGTCATTTAGTGGCGTTTTTAAAAAACGCCACTTTTTTTTTCTTTTTTTTAAAAATTATTTATTTATTTATTATTATTATTATTATTATTATTATGTCCAAAGCATACCATTTTAGAAAATATGCATTATAATGAATCTGAAAAAACAAATCTTCCACTAGACTAAGCCAAATACATTATAATGAAATCTAAAAAAACAAAATTCAAATTCTCACTCCAGATATTTCAAATGGACATGAAATTAGGCAACAATCTACACAAATCATCCAAGATTTTGAAAATTGTTGAAAATTTTAGCTTGATGCAAGAATGCTAAATCTAGAGGTTCAATGCTGAGCCACAACCTCCAACTTCCATTTCTCAAAAATTATTTCTACCAAATAAAAGACAGGAATTCAACTTCTTTCAACTCTTTTTTTTTTTTTTTTCCTCTATTATTTTCCTTACATCCAAACATAGCTTCAAGGGCATGCATAAATACCGAAATGACATGATCTCATAGCCAACAGAGCCTAATAGGCTAATTGACAACCTATAAACCAAATGCATCATATAAAATAAAATAAATAAATAAATAAAAATTCCTAGAGAAAGCATAGCTTTTATTACAAATTTTACAACAATTCTTGTCAGCATGCATTACAAGTAATTCCCCCACAAATTTGTGCGCTATATTGGATTCCAAGAGACAATAAATTTGCAAGGGGGCAAATTTTGAACGGAAAGTTATGAATTTTAATCAGTAGAACATACAGCGGAGAAGAACATTGATCATTCTTTTCAGTTTTCACCTCAGATGAGTCAAGCTCGCGGCATGACTACCAGGTGCACATACTAAATTAAATGAGCAAATACAAGTAGATAATGAAAAGCAGAAACAAAAGTCAAAATGTAAAACAAGTAAAGCTGCTAGATGAAAGGTACCAAGAGTGAAAGAGCTCGGGTCAAACATCACTGGCACAAGGGAGACAACAATTTTTGTCAAGTCAAGGTGGGTCACAGCTCTCTAGCTACATCATATGTTCAAATGTGAAGTGGGTCACGGCCAGAACTGGTATCCCTGTGCTTCAAAGAGAGGTTTGCGAATTGCGAATCAAGGTCTCTACTATTGTTGCGTCTATGACTAGAAGACGGTTGTTGTTGTTGCTGACACAAGGCTCGCAGCCTTCCAATTTCTCTTTCCAATACTTCATGCTCCACTGCATAAACCCTTCAATTGTCTTAGTTTCTGGATGAAAATATGTGAAAGAATTTATTGCTGCCCTGTGTTGCAGCTCGCAAAAAAATACACATTAAGGATATATTAACCCCACAGCGCTCATTCTTTCATATGCTTAATGTGTCCACACTGGTTGTGAAGCACACAGTCCTGCATCCAACACACTTGAAAAAACAAAGAGTACACCCAGTAGTGTCAAACCTTTACTATTCATTTTTCTTTGTTTGATAAAGTTCCACTTTGTACACATGGCACCACAAGTCAAGCATGTAATAAACACTCATATAATAGAACAAGTAAATATAAATGAAAGTGAAGTGAACAAAACAAAAAGAGCATACATGTATTTATCCATATGATAATTGCCAAGCTTCAATTTCCATTTTATGCAATTGTTGTCACAAAAAGTAAGATGGTTCAAAATTATAACTGTTTTATATTTAGATGTTGATGTGTTCTCGAAAATGGGGGTTAAGACTGGGTACATCTTGCCCTTCCCAGACCCTGCTTTAGTGCGAGCCTTGTGCATTGTGTCCTCAGCATGGATGGGTCTTCCTTTTTAAAGGTTTGCAATGTCATGTAATCCATGTCGCATCAAGTCATGTCAAGTCAATGTCCTGTGTTTATAGATATGCTACAAAGCTCCAAAGTCGCACATTTTGTAATGCAAGTGATTTCAATACCAATGATATTAAAGCTTTTCAAGCATGTAACCTATCTACCACTTATATGTGTGTATTTATCAACAAAGAAATTATGACATGGCAAAATTGCTTGCAATTTTTCTTAAAAAATGAAGCAATACATATCAATCATGTGAGTTTCTATATATAACCTACCTCAATGCCACCTCTAGTAACAATCATAAAAGAAGATATATATGTTGGATTCTACTAATGAAACAAATGACAACAAACATGTAGATCAACCCAGCTAAAATTTTCGTTCTAATTGTAACAAAGAAATAGTTTTATCATAAATGATTGCCTAATAAATTTGATTATCTAAAATTCACAACTGTCACTATAATTCTGTCCACCAGAAGACAGATTCAAATGAAGGTTGTTTATATTTGCTGCCATTGTCCAATTATCATTTCCTCACCTCAGCATAACATCTTCTACATTATCCAATGAGAAAATACGTCCACCAACTTTCTAAGGGCATCCAGAAGGATGTCACTTTCTCAAGAAAAGAGAATCCACCATTCACCTTAATTTTAAAAAACTAATACTTATTAAAAGCAGCCAGGTAATGCAATGGTGCACCAATCTAGAGAGAAATCTTTCTGTTTAGCAAGCACTTATGCTGTGCTAACAAGGATGCAAACAAGCACAGCTACTACAATTATCCAAGCATAAGTTCAATAATAGGTCTCCTGATCCCAAGACTTAGGTTAGCTATCCAAACATACCCAGGAAACAAGGTATTAAAGTTATTGAAGACCCTGGGCCAACCAGCTGAACAAATGAACTAGAATAAGCACGGGCTGAAACAAGCATAATCCACCTACTATGTTAATGAGCCTAAAGCTAAGTAGTGCAACAATTGGGTTAGCAGTTTTCATATTTTTTATTGAATAAAGGTCTACAAGAAACCAAAAATGGTAATGATGTAATGCAACTAAAAAACTAAATAAAAGAAGCTCTATCAAATTCCACAGAAATCAGAAACTGATTCTGATCCCCCACCCCTCCCCAACCCTATAGCAGTTCCAGGAGCATTCATGCAAAAAACGCCCAGAAATTTAATGTTTTCTTACAGTAAATGTAAAAGAAATGTTTTAAAAATTATGTAATGCTACAACAAAACTTTTACCCTGCTTCAATGACATATAGGCAAAAACCACTGGAAGTTTACAGTTAGCTCAATATTCCTTTATGCTCATTCCAATACAGTTTATATCTTCAATTATCATCTAAGAATTCAGATTCACAATTACCCTCAAACAGCATCCATTATCAATATTTCCATAATTCTTGTAGGATTGATTATACCTGAGTTGGGGGCTTCCAAGCAACAGAAGCAAATACGATTCCAAAAGCTTCAAGAAGTATGAAAACTTACAATACTTTATCAGCTGCTCCTGGGCTAAACTTTCTAAACGTTGCTTCAAGGCTTTGTTCTCCATGGTCAGAATAAGATTCTGCTGGTTGAGAAATTTAAGCTCAGCAGAAAATTCAGATCCTTCTGCCTGTAATTGTATATAAGGACTAACATCAGCACATTATGATAAACTACAACAACTTTCCCCAAAAAAAATGTATCAAATTTTTTTAGTAGTTTCTAACTAATACATGCCTGTAAAGCTTGCACATTCCTTTCCAGTTCAGCTATATATTGAAGTTTCCGAACCCGTGAACGTTGAGCAAATTGCCTGCATAACAGCATTTCATATTTATTCCGCAGCAACTCACATATCAAATTAATAGTCTTTACAAATAACACCAATCTCATTTTAAAGATTGCAGACTTCTCATATCAAATTACCTAATGTATTCAATAGTATAGTCATATAAATGATACACACACACACACAAAAAAAAAAAACTAAAGCCACCACATCTAAATTACTAATTGAAAGAACTAATATCAAACAACTTCACTTTAAAACCCATACACTCATACATATTGATTTCCAGTTCAAGAGCAAATGAACTTTGATCAAACGTAGGACCTATTGTCCCACCAGGGAAGAGCATGCAATTTCTTTAATTTGACACTGATCACTGAACGAGTTTTCCTGGTCATGTATAACCAAAATTACAAAGTCGTGCTGATTTATGTTCCTGCTAATATTGGGAACTCTACTGACTAGGAACAGGATTCTCAATCTGGTGCAGATCTTTCTCTGCACCAGAACAAGTATAAAACCTTGCAATTTTAAACCGGAAAATAAACCATAGAACAACTTTGGATAAAGATCATCATCAAACCTTGCAATTTTAAAGGTGATACCACATAATAAGAGTAAGAAAGCTAAGAAACCAAAGTATTGAAATGAAGGATAGGTCATACTGCTTAGCACGTTTTGTAACCATTTCAGACTGGATGACATACTGCTTAACACTTGGGGTGGGCAGCTATGAACCAAGATTTTGGATACTCCACCTTCAGACTGGATGATGAATAAGTTGTACTTTATATGAAAAATATGGGTCCTGTTTAATTTGCATATTAAAGCTTTCCTTAATATTTGGGAACAAAACTAGTTAATCAACTTCATTATTTCAAAAAGACAGATTTCTTTGTCAATTAATACTGCTGAACAAATTATACACAAAAAATGCTGAGGAATTTGTACCTGGGTCACAATTGTCCACTGCAAATCCGGCAGAAGTTGAACAAAATCATCGAATTTGGTCCCGATTAGTATAGGAATTTCCGTCTGCAAACAAAAATTAAAGCAAAAAAATTAAAAATTTTAGATGAAAATATGTTCATACTCTTTTAAGAATGAATAGTATCCAAATAATGAAATTCTGCAACTTCATTCTTTTCAATACAAAAATAGAGATTGCTGTCGATATCATCCCTAACACACTTATTAATGATCAAATTATTGACATAAATCTTTTTCTCCCCCACAATTGCATTAAACAAGTACTTTTTCTATTGTATTTTTTTATTTTTTATTTTCTTTTGAGGAATATATGATTGGATCATTAATAATCTTAAATGTTTGGCACTTCACTAGTAAAGACCCCATCAACAAAATGAAGTTCTACCCACTTTCATAATGTTGTTCGTTGCCATTATATTTATCCATTCACTACTGCTATAGGAGAAAAAATATTACAGAAAAATGCATAGAATAATCTAAACCACACATTCCAATTGATGCAAATTTAGAAGATAGATTTAGTACTTGATTCCACTTTCTTGCTTGATTGTACCATCCAATAACACTGTAATAATCCAGAAAACACAAAATTATATCAAATTAGTGGTTCTTTAAACTTAAAACTATGTATGTATCACTATTAAAAGGAGTATTGATTTAATGATGAAATAATTAACATACATATTTAGAGTACACCGGCTAGTAAGATCAAACATAAACAAAATTACTATTGCATCTTTGCAAGCAATAGGAATTTGATCAAGTGACCTATTGTCTCCTACATCCAAATTAAAATTACAAACAAACAAACATTTTAAGTAAATAGAATCCACTAAGACTTCGGCAATTACAAACATTTTAAGTAAATAGAATCCAAATTTTTTAAACTAAAGAACGAAAAATTACAGAGAAAGTAGAACAGATCAGCAGATTTGACAATGAGAAAGTAGAGAATGAAAAATGTACCTGATATAAGAGCAAGAGAGATCAGCTAGAACAGATCGATTTTGGATTTTGGATTTTGGATCTGCGATTTGATGAAGAACAGAACAGATCGATTTGATAAAGAACAGATCGAGTTCGAGTTCGAGTTCGAGTTCGAGTTCGAGTTCGATGAAGAACAGCTAGAGCAAAGCCCTCGAGCGACAGAGATCGATGAAGGATAGCTAGAGAGTTCGATTGCGAGCGACAGAGATCGATGCAGCGCAAACCATCGACGGTTTTGGATCTGCAATCGAGCAAATCGAGGGTTGAGAATGAGAAATTGAGCGAGCGAGCGAGAGAGTGTGTGTTTGAAACTGAGCAAGAGAGAGTGAGAGCTTCAAATCGAGGGTTTTGGAAGAGAGTGAAACTGAGTTGTGGTAGAGACTGAGAAAGAGAGATTAAGTTCAAAGAGACGGAGGTTTTGACGGTCAATACGTTGACCCAATACGGCGCCGTTTCACTGAGATCAGACACAACGTTTTTCAAAAACGTTGTGTTTCATTAATTTATAGTGGCGTTTCCCTAAATGCCACAAAAAAAAAACGTTGCTGTAGACCATTTTTCCTGTAGTGTGGTGAGGAAGTGAGTTTGTAATGGAGGGAGGTGGGTTCGGTGGTGGTTTTGTGACGAAGGGAGGTGGCTGTTTGGTGGTGTAGCAGGGGAATGAGTGGTGTGGAGGTGATGATTGGTCATGGTGAGAGGAGGTGGAGGGAGGAGATTTAGTGGTGGGTGTGGTTATGGAAATGTTGGTTTGTGGTTTGGAGATAACATGAAGATAGAGCTATGCGAGTTTGCTAAAGGTACTATACTAAGTCCTAATCAAGTAGCAATTAATTATTACTAAAATAGAGTATAATTTCACATAACTCAAATCAAACTTGAAATGGTTGCAATTCTAATAAGGGTAATAGATTTATTGCACTCACAAAACATGAAGGGCAATTGACCTGTCTGTGATGTTCACAGAGAATACGAAAGGAATTCCAGAGTTTCTAGAAATCCTTTTGCAGTGGCAATTAGCAAGAAACTTCATTTGAATTCCGAGATGGACAGAAGTGCTTGAGAGAGAGAGAGAGAGAGAGAGAGAGAGAGAGAGAATTTTCTTAGTATTACAGTTTATAAACATATGCGTATGTGCTAGAGATCCTTCAAGTCAAAGGTAAGATTAAGCACAATAGGGAGTGAGGGGAACTCACCAAATGGTCAGATTTTACACGTTCATAGAATTCTCATCCAAAGCCACAACTTTGATTTGAGGAAGTAATATAAGAACAAAGAAGGTTATGCAGCTGTTGTAATCCATAGTTTAAAGGATTGTTTGGCAACTCCAGCTTGGCTATCATCAAGCTTATCATTGATGATTTTAGACTCCTCTTCACTAATCACGTTGGATCCTCTAATAATAGGGTGGTGGCTCATCGTTTTCTGGGGGTGTCTCAGTGTGGACTGGATTCCTTTCCCTGTTTCTAAGGCCATGCGGGCCTATTGTAATCTGCTCGATTAGTTTTAATGAAATTTTCCCTCTTTACCAAAATAATAATAATAATAATAATAGTAATAGTAAGAACAAAAAAATATAAGAAATGGGAAAACCAGCAGTTAAAACAAATTTTTTTATTTTTATTTTTATTTTTTAAAGAAAAGAAGGAAAATTGGTCAATATGAATAGAGAAAGTACCTGCCCTGCATATATATTGCTTAGGTCCGTAAGATCTATTTCACAATCTAGCATAATAATAATTATAATTTGCAAAGTCATTTACTAACATAGCCCACCAAAAATTTCTTTGGAAATAGCTCCCGCTCTAACGATACACAAGCAATACACAAATTTCATTGCTATGATCCAGCAGTGTCTTTACATGGTTTAGGGCCAGACAGTGGCTAAAAAAATTAAATTTTAGAAATTGGACAGAGGGTGATATTTCCATCACAACAGTCGCAACACTAAAGTAACAAGTTAGCAAACAAAGGATTGACACTATGACAAATATTTTTCTTTTTTCTTTGATAAGGGATCAAAAATATATTTTGTACTACTAGAAAATTCTGAGAGTTTATCTTGCAAATGAAAACAAAATATCAATACACCTTAGGAACAAAAAAGAAAGAGCCGAAACTATGCATAAGCAAAGTCCAAGGGTTAGCTTAGTAGTTAAGGCATTTTCTTACTAGGCGTGATGCTTAGGTTCGAGACTTAATGTTGTGAGATGCAACTCCCCATTTCCAAGGGTTAGCTTAGTAGTTAAGGCATTTTCTTACTAGGCGTGATGCTTAGGTTCGAGACTTAATGTTGTGAGATGCAACTCCCCATTTCCAAGGGTTAGCTTAGTAGTTAAGGCATTTTCTTACTAGGCGTGATGCTTAGGTTCGAGACTTAATGTTGTGAGATGCAACTCCCCATTTCCAATTCCCTTTCTTTTGAATAGCAAAAGAAAAATGATGTCAAGATGACCCACCGGCCACCAATTATAACAGCCTACTTGTTCATTATTTAGTCATATCAACTCCTTTCTTTCTTTCACTCTTGAGTATTTCAATTAAGGTCACTTGTTAGTCATGTTAGCCCGGTATCTACAAAAACCCAGATCACATTTTGCAGACCAAAATTTGATGTTCTGTACTTCAAAGTATTTTTCCAAAACATTTTCTTTTATTTTTCCTGAATTTAGTAACAAAACTGTTTGTAGCTCTTTCCTTTGTAGCCTGGATTGCACTTGTTCACTACCTGTTTGTAAAAAATGTTTATGAGAACAATAAAATCTTGTTTATTGCTTTGATTTTGACAGACAACTTGGCTTTTCATGGTATTTTTTGTTCATGATTGGGTCCCTGGTGGTGGCAGATATTTGCATGTTCAAGTAACTACAAGAACTGAAGGCTGTGTGTGAAAGTTTATATTTTATTCACAATTCACACACCATTTTCATTTCTCTTTTCAAATTACTCATCAAGTCCATGATCCAAACACAGTTGATAAGGACTTTTCATGGTATTTTATTGTTCATGGCTTGGACATGAAAAGTTGGATCCTTTGTTTGAGAGGTGGATGGGGTTTATATAAGTAAGGATTGCTTGGGGGCAAAAATATACATAAGCCAAGTAATCTATATATATACACACTAGGATAATAAATCATCTTGTCATAACTAGAATGAAAATAAAATCTAACAAAATTTGGTCTGAAAGTGTACAAGAAGAGATATGCAGCTGCAGGTTGGAATCTGTGACCACAACTTCAACTTAAGACCTACGGCTGCACCTTTTTAAGGCAACTGCAACCTGCACCCTTTTAAGGCAACCGCAACCCCACTTTTGTGACTGTCGGTTCTAGACATCCAATTTGTTAAAAAACGTGCGGCCTCATGTTTTTCGCATGTGGGCTTCACTTCAATTTGGTTGCAACCTTCGTTTTGAGTGATTTTGTTTGCTCCCAATGTCCTAAATCAACTTAAAATTGACTTTTTATTGAAAAATACATAATTCAGGACGTTTTCTACTGAAAATTGGCAATTAAAAATTGATTGAATGCGTGAGTGGTCACCTCACATACCTTTTTGAGAACATGTTAAAAATATTAGCATTTTATTTAAGGCTGAAAAACAATTTGGAAATTTGAGTTTATTTTGGAAAGCTAATCTAAAGGATTTATTAGAAGGTCGTACGCATCATCGCATTGAGAATGTAACACTTCCATAACTAGAAAACACTTGAGGGTGTCAAAGTTTTAGGACCGGTCAAAATGTAGTCTCTACAGCCCTTTAAGGTGCTTCCAACTCAAACACAATCCGGGCTTCACACTTAAGGGAGCTCACCTAAGTTCAAGGTGACCCTACAGAATGCTCTGCAGCTTGGCCCCGATCCAAACTTCGCACTTAAGGGAGCTCACCCATGATCAAGGTATGACCCCTCCAAGGGTTGTGCTGGTTGACAAACCATCAAGTTGTTCGCCCTTGAGCCAGGTCCTCATGACCTGAGATAGTCCTTGCTCGGTTTGACCCTCTTCACCGAGCAACATCACACAATCTTGGAGGGTAGCAAAGAACAACATTTTAATGCACCAAGAATCAAAGCAAAGGCCAAATAAGATGAGCTTCACAAACATTAGTAAAAGCAATGAAAATAAACTTTTGGCTTGACACATAACACTTGTATTGTACGGCAAAGAAAGATCAACCTACAGATTTTGATTTCCTACTGCACTAATGCAAAGCGGAAATGAAGACATGAACATAGAACACATATAATCTTTTCAAGTTTCAAGCAAATAGAACACATGTTGTAAAATTAAATGAAGCAAATTAGAAAAAACTCAACCATTAATAATTATCAAATAGGGCATACAGTGTTCAGTTAAATCACTAGAATATATTTCCACAACTAAGATTAGATCCATTACTGACTACATTAGATTAGACCCATATCTATTAATTAATACATAGGTAAATAAATTTCATTCATAAAATTAACAATATTAGATATTAAACAAACCATAGGCAAGAATGCTGACTCAAAACTACATCGGAGTGATCCATCTAGTGACTAGGCCCTGCTTTCTTCCTTTTTCTTTTCTTCTTCTCAACATGCACTGTGTTGGATGAGGATGAGCCTAAGCGTGAACCTGAGCCTGAGGTTGGTATAACACTTTGACAAATCTCTCTTAGCTTCCGTATATGGACAGCAAAATCTATGCCTCGATTAGACAGGATGAACATCCCAATGACCCTTCCCATTGAATCAAATATAGGGCTACCAGATGAGCCACTAAGATTTTTTAAACCATGGATTTGAATCAGGGGCAAATTGTCATCACATTTTTTACAATCTGTTCCAGTAACTACATCTCTATAGCTTCTATTAGGAAACCCCACATATCCCTGCGTGAAAGTGAACT